AAAAAAAAAAAAAAAAGAAAAGAAAAGAAGAAGAAGAAAAGACGAAAAGCGCAATGCTTTACAAGTAAAGAATTTAAAAATAATTTCACAACAGTTCATGACACAAAATATTCATTTTCTACTTATATTTCATCTTACTAAGTGCGGATCGCGAGAAAAACGTGTCATAGTGGTAACCAAGCAACCAAAAAGACCGTAAAACGTTTATTCAATTTTTGTGTGCTTTGTGTTTTAATGCGAGAAAGTTAGTCTCTTCGTCGGCGCCAGAGGGATTCTCCTACCAATGGTTTAGCAAAAAATGAACATGAAAAAACACGTTAAAAATTTTTTTTGTTTTTTTTGAAAAATATTGAGTTACTCTTATGAGGATCGTATTTCGAATGGCATCGAATTGAACGCATGCTGAACTTTGATTTAAAAAGAATTTATTTCAAAATATATAACAATTTCTAAAAAATGAATACTTCAAAATTAATTATCACTGAAGTCAAAAGTCAAAGTTTTAATCACTGGTTTTTGAGTATAAAGAAACTAGAAACAGATGTTTAAGAACAGTTTTAGCATTTACTGTTATGTCTTTGTTTGACCCCTTTGTTACCCGGGTTTGTTATCAAAATGTAAACAAAAAGCTCCGATGTATCGCATTACCGACTTAAAGTTTGAAACTGTATTTTCAGCAAATCGTAACCGTCTTTCTCTTTACACGTTTATCAGTCAATAGGTAAATTATTTTCGGTTTTAACGATCCAGTTAGCCAAAGGCGTATTTGTTAACGATAAAACACAGACGTTTAGGTTGAGTTTTGAGGGCTATACATGGCTAGGATTGGCTAGCGGGTGACCTTTGAAGAATACAGTCTCAGATGAATAAAGGCCACAGACGAATCCACTATTACCGATTCTTATAAAGCGAAGTATTTACCTAATCTTTGCATCAATGACATCTAAACGGAATTACTACCCATTCTCTATCGTCGGTAATAATCGTTGTGCTTTTTTGTCTCGTAATTGAAGCTGGCAAAAAGAAGTGATTAAGCTTATTCCACCAGTAGGACTGCAGTATTGGACATTGTCTATGACAATAACAAAACCGGTGTTCGGCTAACTGAAAACCGGCGAAAGACGAGATTGTTAATATTTAATTTGTTCTTGGCTGAGCTATTTTGCATCAAACGTCTCGATTTACATGACATCAGGCTGCAACGCCTCGTAATAAGACTTTATTTCTCTACTCACGATTGACATGCTGGGCAAAATAAGCCCAGAGTATTGCTTGAGTGATTAGGTCAGTACAGATGTCATGATTACGTGGAAAAATAAATAAATGAATAACTAGAAAATAAAATAGCCGACTTTCACGGTACAAAATTTTACTTGAGTATTTAAAGTGAGTCTAAGTAAACATTTAGTTTAGTTGCAAAAAGCGAAATGTAATGTTTGCTTTCGGTCTTATTCAAACAGGAAGTTGGCGTTTTTTTATCAGTGCACTCCTTTCACATTGATCAATATCCGAGTATCGTACATTCAAACTATCCTATGTTTTTACTTCAAAAGGATTTTTTTGTAGTCGTAGTACTAACCATTAATTGAAGACCGGAGAGTTGTCATTCCGAGAAAAAATACAGACGTTTTTATTAAAGCTAATAGCTTTTGTTTAGGGAATTGAAAACTTTGAGTTTGACTGTCGTGTTGTACTTTCACTTAGCTTAGCCTGCGTCTGTGAGCGCCCTTTGAGATTTATGAAGGAACTCCTTAGAGGATCCGCGAACCGTGTATTCTATCCTTTACTAGGAACCCTTTCCCCTTTATTTTCAGTCTAACTTTTCTTTGTAGGATTATTGCGTATCTGAGCACTATATTTCAAGGAATATTTTAAACGCGCGTGTAATTTTAAAATCATCGATTTGAGCAGCGATTTTCTAAATAAACTTGAATCAAAGATGCCATTGATTGGAATGGACCTCGAATGACCTACCCAGCAAAAGAACTTTGCATCGATCTCGGACAGTGTTTACAAGTGATATGGTTGGACAAATGAGCCATCGAGACAGGAGTGTAATCATGGAAATCGGAAGTGTTTGTGATGTAAATTAGACACGAGACGCGACGCCTTTAAGCGACTTCCCACAATATCGTCGATTATTGCTGGAGCATGCGCACTTAGATTGGCACCCACAGCGAAGCAAAATAAGACGTTCCATGAATTTAGTCCTTGAGTCGCTGATACGCATCGTACAGTCGAAGTTGGCCTTTAGGTAAGGTAACATAGAGCTAGACAACTCAGTAAGATCTTGGGACACCATTTAGGGGTGTTTTGGTGCTATCTTTACACACGTTTAGGTCTAATCGCCTGTGAATTTAGAGAATTGCAAAGATGGCTGTTGTGTGTCATATGAGAAGGCGTGTAGACTGGCAACGTGACTCAAAACCTCTACGCGACAACAAAATATTTGTATCGCTTACGTTCTATTGGTCATGACTCTTTCCCGAAGCTGAAATACGCAAACCTCGCCGTGTTTTCAAGCCTAAAAACACTTTCAATATTAGCTTTAATACGATAGTTGTATCACCGTTTTTTGTAGTCATGTGAAGTTTGGGTTCGCGAGTCTGAATTCCATCATATTTACGAGAGTAATCATTCCAAATTAGGGCCTCGGCGTTCACTGATTCAATTCACTTCCAGAATGTTACAGATTCTAGCGAGCAGTGAAATGGCTTTCCATCAATGCTGCCAACATTTCGTAACTTTAAAGTGTTCGAATTTTCAGTGGTAATTAGAATTCATCCACGCTTGTGTGTTGCTGATGCCACAGGTCAAACCATGAAATATCGAAAATGAACGATGTATTAAAAATGAAAAGAATCCGTAAAACTAGACAACCAGATCTCTCTACTTCAAGGCATTAAACTTTACGGCGAAGTTGCCAAAGCATGGAATGCAATCCAAATGAAGCCATAATTCGTTTATTAGCACGTATTTTCAAGGTAATATGTTAGGACAAATTAGATACGAACCTCGCTCACTTCAGCCGTTCAGAATGTCTATAATATGTTCGTAAACACAGCGAAAACTTTAAGTTTTACTACCAAGCGGTCTTGAAATTAGGATATTAAGTATAAAGTATAGATTGGAAATTTGTTTCCGAGATATCTTAGATTGATTTGGGGCCTCGTTTAGTCGTCTTTAGGAATATTTCCAACGCGTGTTTTGGAAGTCCACGCTCCACTGAACAACGATGTGAATAAATTAACCGAGGTTCAACGTGTGACACTTTATAAAGAACAGCTCACACGTTTTGCAATCTCTACCTATTCTCTCTCAAGCATATTCATAGTTATTTATTCGATAGAATTTTTCAGGTGAGACTTCGTGGTTTTAGATTACTTTTACTCTCCCAAAATCGGGCCTCGAGTTTTGCCGTGCAATAATAGATATGAGTTTTATAAATATTCATTAGAGACAGTAGTTGAAGCTCGATGGATGATGTACTATTGTTCTTACGATAAGCTCCTATTTCGCCAAAAATAACTTCAAAATCCTAGAGTATTTTTCAAACTTATGTAGGATAATTTATAAACATATTCTCTTCAATTCCTTACCTGGTTATATTGTTAGGCGCGGACTTAATTTATTAATTGTTACCGATTTTGAAAACATCTGTAATTTCATGCGTAGAAAGTTTCCCTTTCGCGATGTTTTGAACGCTTACGCTTGGCTACCTTTCAAGATAATCTGTGTCTAGCTCGAATGTAATTTAACCTTTTGAAAAATTCCTAGCTTAACTCAATCAAATATTTATTTTAATTTTGCGCATAACAGTAAAAAAATACTCCAGGATTCCAGGTTTTTAATTTTCACTCAAGTTTGAAACATTACATATGTATATTTACCCCACAAGTTTTACACTGCTGTCTAACTCTGATTGGTCGAGAGGCAATGATACCGTTTTTTACCAGAGCTTAAAATTTGACCCCAAAAATATATATTTCTCAATTTTTTTTACATGTTTTTAACTGCATCGTTTTATTTCTAGTGATTGGGAATAAGCTTGAGAGCTAGAAAAAGAAAATTAAATCAAAAATAGGCATTTATTTTTCTCCATTTTCGGCGAATTATTATACCACTCAACGAAAATAAAATCTGCATAATTTTCTAAAAGCGATTGAATTTAATTTTTCTTTTGTTCGTATTTTTTAACATTTCGTTTTGCTTTTGGTACAATAACTGTAAGTTAGAATTTTTATCTTTAATATGTGTAAATTAAGATATAAATTAAAGTATGTCATCATTATTTTACAAAACTTAGAAATTAATATTTGGTCAACATCTGTTTTCCTGGGAAACGGAAAATTGTTGTATCAATGCAGTAATGACATGGACTACAATGACTGCCCACAATTAGCTACTTGTCATTTGAAAATCATATTACTCCAATCCATTGCATTTTACTATTATCACAAATGACACCTTAACAAAATAAAAAACAAAACAAAACAAAATAAAAAATAAAAAATAAAAAAATTTACCAAAAAATTCAATTCACTTTATTTCCTTTTTCATCCTAAACTCTTATTTCTTGGACTTATCCCAAGTAAAAGTAAACTTAAATTCATTTTGACTTGAAATTTTTTTTACACCTCTACTTTTTGATATATTTAGTTTTTAATGATATATATAGTTTTTAGTTTTAGTTCAAAATATTGAGGTTCTAAAATATTATTACGAATTCTTCATCATTTTTGTCAAGTTTTTGACAACTGTATTTTGTGCCTTAACATATGCAGCAAATTCATGTTTTACCAGTTTTAGCTCAAAATGAATGTTCCTCTTATGTATGTGGTAACACTGGTTTTAACAATTAGATATGTGAAACAAAAAATTCTGTACTACTAGATTCATAAATATTAATAATAAACAGTAGTGGTGAATTATTAATTATTTAAACCTGAGCTTTGTTCTTTTGCAAGATTTTGATCTGGATTCTGAAGTAGTACCAAGAAAACTTATTTCTTTAGTCGTAAACTTTAACTTAGATCAGCCCAGAGGTTGGTTCAGGGCTCGATCTGTGAGTTAACTATGCCCTGACTTAGATCAGCCCAGAGGTTGGTTCAGGGCTCGATCTGTGAGTTAACTATGCCCTGACTTAGATCGGCCCAGAGGTTGTTTCAGGGTTTGATCTAAGAGTTAGCTGTACCTTATCTTGAATCAGTCGATAGTTTGTTCAGGGTTCTATCGGTGAGTTAGCCATGCCCTGACTTAGATCAGCCCAGAGGTTGTTTCAGGGTTCTTATATCTATGAGTTAGCCATGCTATGACTTAGATCAGCCCAGAGGTTGTTTTAGGGTTCTATGGGTGAGTTAACCATGCCCTGACTTGGATCAGCCAGAGTATGCTTCACTGGTATCAATTAATGATCATTGTTATTTCATCTTGTGATATTTTTTGTTTGAATAATTATAGGTGAAGCTACTATGGAGGAACCTGATGACGGTTCCACAACTGAGTCTAAACAAGAACAAAAACCAGAATCTTCTGAGAATTGTTTAAGTGACAGTGTTCCAGAACATATTCAGGAGTCTACGCCGTCAAAATCTAACGACAACAAAGAATCAATCCCAGATAAATTAGATGATGAAGATAATAAGACAAACCAGCCAGAGATGCAACCAGAGGTTGTTGTACTACAGGAAGGGAATAGTATGGAACAAAATGATGTCAAAACAACAGAAAATCCTCCAAACATGGAATCAAAGCTGGGAAATATTGAAGTAGCAGAAAATGAGGAAACGAAGTCAGAACACGAGGAAATAAATCCAGATTTGGATGATCTTGATAATGTAAGTACGTCATTGGAAATTGTTTCATTATATAAAGCAGGCATCAGTATTTTAGTTTTAATACATTTTGCTCACTAAAGCACTTGTCTAGCCAATTTTTGATAGCATCTGAAGTTGACATGATAAATGTACATAATATATATATTTATGCACTGCCTAAAAGCAGAGCTCCCGATACGGAAGTCACAGGGAGCCCAATTTGAATGAAACTGAAAGTTAAAAACATCTTCAATAAGCCTGAAGCGAGATGACCTTTTACCCCCGACTCTATATCATAATAGTTTTTAAAATTCTTTCATATTAAAATTTTTGATTCCTTAGAGAATACAGGAACCATAGTCATAATTAAAGAACAAAAGCAATGTGAAAAGGATCATGGTCTCGAGACGGGGGTAAAATGTCATCTCGCTTCAGGCTTATTATTTTTTATTTGAGATGAAATTAATTTATATCTTTGATAGCATCTGAAATTAACATGATAAATGTACATATTATCCGTAGTTATTTCTGCACATAATACATTCATCATGTTAAGTTTGATTCATTCAGCAGTTGTAATATACAGCTGTAAATGATATTGAATATTAATGTACTCCTGTAAAGGTTCATGGAATTTCAAAGTGTTTGTATTGATGGGTTGCAAGCATTCTGAAGAGACTTAAAAGACATGGAGGCATTGTGGTGTCGTTAACAATGAATGCTAATAAGAAATATTTTAATTGTTGAATTCCACCAATGCTCCCCTGAGAGGCTGCGATGATGTAACATATTGCAATCAAAGATCATTGAAGTTGTGCATTCTTTACTTTACTGTTCGTATTTGTGAATATTTAGATGCTGAAACGAGACTAAACGGCTAACACTAATCAAGGATTTACATAAATGTTCATTTTTTAGTACAATTATATTACAGTTTTGAAGTTGGCCTTGCAACGTGCTCAAATAGTTTTTACTGGCATTAATTATTATAGTCTTTTATAGATTATATATTTTGTATTATATTATTATTTAGGAGGACCAAGATGGAAAAAAGCTTAGCTTTACTTGTTACATCCTCATTAAATAAAGTGTTATTTATTAAATGAGTCCATAATATATATAGAAACTCAGTAGTAATTGACCAATAGATCTGTTTACCTTGGGGTAATGTTTTTCCATTTCAGATCACATGTCATTTTCTTGAGTATCATTTCTTTGTTTACCTATAGCACACAAGAAGACACATGAATTTGGATGCAATTCAAACAAAGAATCTTAGCATCAAGAGACTTACATGTGGTCTGAAATGTTAAAAACCATTACACTCAAGATTAATGTACAGTTTAGTACAATGCCTTAATTATTTCTTGACCAATTTCCAGGATGCACCAGATACTCCATATACTATTGATGATTTAACTGATGTTCAAAACCAAGAGTCTAAAGAAAGTAGTGATGTTGAAGGCGAACAGAAGCTTATCAGAGCACGACTAATCAACCCTACTGAGCTGGGTCGTTGTGAATACTGTCAAGGGCCTGTTAAGAAGAGAAGACTTTGTTCGCCTTTGAAGAAATTTTGCTCGAAAGCCTGTGCAAGAAACTGTAGAAAGACTAAGGTAAGGAGAAATCTAATCTACTCAATAATTTATATTTTATAATAATATCTGACAAGAATGGCTATTTTATTAATATATTAATAACTACAGGCATAAAATAACTAAAATAAAAGTAAATTTTGTTTTTATTTATTATTCCTTATATTGAGAATGTGAAAATGCAAATTTTCGTTTAGTTTATAAATAGTCATTGAACACACTTGATAATGAGGTCAACATGACCTCGAAATGTCGTGAATTACTGTCTGTATCGTTTCTTGTATTATTAATCTAGAAACCCTTACTTATCAAGATTGAGAATGCGATTATGAATTAGACCCTTTTCGAGTTCCAAATGACCGCTGTGTTTCTTGATTACAGACTCATTTGCTCAGGCTAAGCCTCGATTTTGTGAAGAATATTCACGTTTTCCAGTCAAGGTCCGTCAAGTTTCAAAGTGTTCGTATTGTTRAACTTGTGCATTGTTTACTTTACCTTTGGTATTTGCGAGTAATTAGACACTGATTGCAGGATTAGCCTGAGCAAATGGTCTGTAATAGAGAAACACAGCGGTAATTTGGAACTCGAAAAGAGTCTATTATTCAACATTGCATTGGCAAATTGCAAGAGTTAATTTTCCAGCCAATTTCTCTATTCAGCTAATGAGATTGTACTTGGTCCTTTTGAGACTTTCATGTGGTGAATATCACTAGAAACTAAATGATGACTGCACTGTTTTAAACTTTTATTAGCCATTCCAAAGTAGAGGAAAAACTGAGTCAAATTGGTTTTTAGCGGGCATATTACCAAGATGTCATCTAGTTCATCTAAGTCTGCATTCATAATGTATAGCAGGGGGGAGGGGCAGGTGAAATCTTTAAATGACAAAAAAATTCTTAAGACCCCCCTTTAAAGTCCCCCAAAAAATAACTATCCCCCCGGGCAATCTCTTGTAGCTTCTTCTAAAACTTTTGCATTCTCCCAATTCTCTGAAAAAAATTTTCGGACCCCCCCCCCCCCCTAATTTTACTGGTAAAATAATTTCTTATCCCCCCTAAATTTCACCTGCATCCCCCTCTGCCATACGTAATAAACGCAGCCTAAGAAAATAGCCCAGCCATACACTGCAATTCCCAGTTTTTTCGTCAAGCCCAGAAAGGGTAACAGGAGTTGTAAAGCCTTGCAAAACACATTGTACTTGTGCATGATCGATAATATTATGAGATGTTTTATCTTGTGTTGAAGAAAGAAGATGAGGGACAAGACTGTCAAACAGAGGATTCAGCAGGTGAATAACGAAAAAAAAGACAGAATATTTTAATCAGAGCTGAGAGATATATCGAAAGAGATGTCAACATTAAATGAAAAATTATTTTCCTACATTATTTTATTTTATTTTGTTTCGTTTCATTTTATTTCATTTCATTTT